TCTGTGATTCTATGAATCCCCACTCCCCTTCCTGCACCCCCCACCCCAAAAATAAAAGGCTGATGGGTTTCCTGGGATGCTGAGCATCTGCTTCCCCACATTTTGGACTTCTTCCTCTTTCCTCCTAGAAACAGACTCCAGCCAAAAGCAGCTTGGAAGGGGTGGGGGAGGCAATATTCACATCCAAAAAAAGCAACAGAAATAGGGCAAGTTTTCCTTAGGGGTTGTAGCAATGGGTTCAGGAGCGGTGCTGAACTGTACTCCTGATCCCAGGCTGGGAATTGTGGGATCATGACCCCCACTGGCCTCGTGGCCATTAGGGAGGTTGACACCGCAGGGACAGCGTTGCTATGGGCAAGAGTTGTGTATGTAAAAGCTATTTATTTTTAATACATTTATAATACACTACTTCTATAAAATAATATAAAACAGGGGATGGCAGCTGCGGTGTGGGGAGAGGGAACTGGCGAGGAAGGGTTGACCCCCTGTTCGCAGTGGGACTTTGGCAGAGCGCAGTCCTACTGCGTTTCTCGCGCACCGTTCTTCATAACACGGCGTACAGTGTTCTTTGGGATGCTGCTGCTGGCCATGAGCTAGGCTGTGCTTGTCGCATGGGTGTGTAGAATGTGCTCCTCAACCCCGCGCCATTGCTGGGCTGGGAGTAACTCTCCTTCCCCCTCCACCTCCCAGGCTGAAACTCTCGAACGAGGAGATCAAACGAGCGATTTTGACGATGGACGAGCAGGAGGACCTCCCGAAAGACATGCTGGAGCAGGTGGGCAACGTGTCTCGTGTTTCTCCGTGGTTACCTCATGCTGAGACCACGCTGTGCAAGGTGCTTGGGACCAAATCGTGGCTTTGGGAAGTGTCTCAGGGCCCCGTATGATTTACCAAGCACATGTTGATAGACCACCCAAGTGGGCTGGAGCATCAGGAAAGCAGCTCAGTTGGAGCATCAGCACTGGGAGCAGCACTGCCTCCACGTGCCATGCCTGTACTGGGATCTGCCTTGGGACCCTGAGGCTGAGCCAGTGGCCCATTTTGTGGCCGAGTCTTGAAGTTGGTGCTCAGTGAAGTTTTATTTTTGAAAACTTGTTCAACATTTGTGCGGTCCTCAAAAAGGGAACCCTGTTTTTCACCCCCTCTGAATCCCTTTGTTGGCATTTTAATCACCTGTCCTTAAACCTGAGCTGGTAATTGTACTTTCAGCAGAGAGGTGGGAGGATTCATTGCACAAAGTTTCCATCTGAAAATTTGGAAGAGTTGCAGCAAAGGAGAGCCCCTGACATCTCCTCTGGCAGAGCTGGTGTCAAAACCTCCTTGGAGCAGATGTAGTACATCTGTTGTAAAACCAGCGTGATGGCAGGGCAGCAGCAAGAGACACTAATGTGATGGGTAATGGGAGGAGGGTCACAGGGCCAGTGATAACACTTATTTCACAGGTGACTTGGGGTCACTGTCTGCACCTGCTGAAAAGGTAGTAGATTCAAGCAAATAAATCACCGTTTTGCTCCTAAAAAACTGTGCATGGACCTCATGTCCACAAGTGTGCTTTCCCTTGTTTAGCTCCTGAAGTTTGTTCCTGAAAAGGGTGACATTGACCTCCTGGAAGAGCATAAGCACGAGCTCGACCGTATGGCCAAGGCTGACCGGTTCCTCTTTGAAATGAGCAGGTTGGTGACCCAGGAGACAAGGGTTTTGGCCAGTGGCTGCGCAGGCTGGTTGCAAGGAGGCTGTTTCATGGAGCCTGGTTGGGAAATATGCCCTGCTTGCTGGTTTTCACACCAAGAAAAGTGTGGGCCAAAACAAGGTGCTCCCATCCCTAAGGATCACTTGTGATGCTGTGCTCCTGAAATCAGGGTTGTGAGTCCCAGACAAGCAGCAGCTGGGTGAAGCAGGGGGGAGGGATGGTGAGAGAGATCCTCTGGAAAGAGGTGTTGGCTTCCCAGCTTGTGCCCCGACACATTTCCCCTCTCTCTCCGGGGAGAAATCTCCATCTGGCACAGCTCTGTGGAAGACTGCATGGTCTGCGTGGTGGCCCAGGTGGGAAGTGCTGTTTGAATGATGACGTGATGCTCCTTCCCCCCTTACACGAGCTATCCTAATGAATACTCAAGACTGCTGTGTGTAAATTTTGCCCTGCTGCATGCATGAGTCCCACTCCTTACCACAGGAATCACTCCTGGGAATATATGAGACAGAGAGGACATGTCACTTCTTCCTGCTCCTGGTAGCAGTCATTTAAGGCTTAGAATTCTTCAGGGATGAATAACCTTATCTTTTGTGTGCACATCCTCCAGAGGTGCTGGTTTAAAATCTTGAAGCTCCTTATTTAAATCCAACTGAGTATCGAGCACTTTGAATTTCTTAGCTGAACTGCAAGTTAGTCACTTGTTTGCAAAGTGAGTGAGTTTTATAATCTGAGCTCATACTGGGACATCAAAAATAGAAACACTCCTGTCCTCCCTGAGGACTGACGAACACCAGGGCGACGCACCGTGTAGTTGCGGAGTGTCAAAGACAGGCAGAACAGAGCTGTGAAGTTCAAACCTGAGCCCTCAGGGCTGAAGGTGCTCAGAATCAGCTTTCCTATCGCAGGGCACCTTTCCTCTTCACAGTCCCTTGCCCAAGTGTTGCACCCACACCTTCACCTTTTGGAAAGCACAACATGCCGATGCAAATATTTTCCTTGATTTCCAGCACGGCTTTTTAATTTGCCCTGTGGTCTGTAAGCAAGTGTGATGCCTTTGTCACCTCTGGTTAGTACAACATCAGCGTAGCCATGGCCTTGTCTGTAAGCACGTCTCCTGGGTCCTTGGTCCAAAGGACTCCAATCAGACAGCCATTTGTGTACAAGTGAGATCTTGTTTAGCCTAAATACAACTGACAGGAGCAGAGCCATCCCTAACTTGCCCAGGAAAGGGCTGGATTGGGCTGTGTTGGTGGCTTTCCAGGCCATCATTTTGAGGATCTGAAAGTCCACTTTTGTTAGTGCTGGTAGTTGGTGTGCGGCGTCCAGCCCACAGCTTGTCACAAAGCCACAGGGAGCCTGGACCTCATCAGCATCTTTGCTAAGGAGTTGTCCTGAAGGAACCATTTGTTCATAGCAATAGGGTGTAAAAATGCACTTGTTGAACCTTCTGGGTTAAGGATAGGCTTAAGCATGTGCTTGAGAGCCCACCTGGATCTGTCCCAGAACAGCTGTAGCTTCAGTTGTCAATTTTTCCCATCCCAGCAGAGTTTTGGGGGAGAAATGCAGTCATTATTTTTTAATTACCATATCTCAAGCAAGCTTTGCAAGCACAGCTGTGAGCCTGGAGCAAGAAAAGCTCAACTTAACCTCTTTTTTCCAGAATAAACCATTATCAGCAAAGGCTGCAGTCCCTCTACTTCAAGAAGAAGTTTGCAGAAAGAGTTGCAGAAGTCAAACCCAAGGTGGAAGGCAAGTGACTGGATCTGCTAAGGTCGCTGAGGGGCTCTGCGGGCATGGGGGGTGTTTGCAGGAAGAGCACCCCTCTGAGGAGGTTGCAGTGATGCAGGGGAAGGGAGGGAGCTGGTGGCCCCTCTTTGGCCCTGGGGGCACTGAAGGGGTTGCTGCAAGGGCCCAGTATGCTGTCGGGGCAGGGGGTAATGTCCCACACCACTCTACTTTCAGCCATCCGCGCCGGCTCCAAGGCAGTGCTGCAGAGCAGCAGCCTCCAGCAGCTGCTGGAGGTGGTCCTGGCCTTCGGGAACTACATGAACAAAGGCCAGAGGGGCAACGCCTTCGGGTTTAAGATCTCCAGCCTCAACAAGATCGCAGACACCAAGTCCAGCATTGACAAGTGAGCAGACCCTGCTCTCATCCTCGGTAGCATCCATGGCCCCCAGCATGCTGGGGGAACGGAGGGATCATTAGCATTGCCGCTGGGACGTGGGTAGGTGGGAGCAGTGCCCTCCCTCCCGCTGTCCCATCTGGCACATCCAATGGTGCAAACATCCGTTTTGGAGCAGGACAGATTTCAAGGGAAGCTGAGCTGTAGATCAGCATGGAGGCTTTCCTTCCTGGACTGGCTAAATGTCAGCCAAGGCTGCTTGGGAGAATCATCGGCCAAATGCTTTTTTACTCCTCTGAGAAGCCAAGAGCCATTGTGCTGTGGCACAGTGGCCAGAGGAGGGGTTCCAAGTGTTCCTCCCCATGGGAACCCCCTTTGCAGCCCCCCCAAAGGGCCACAGCCATTGCTTGGTTCGCTCTGCCCCACTGAGCTCCATGCAGAGAGCAAGAGGAGCTGGGTCAGATCTCAAACCTGCATGTTCTCATCCATGAGTAAAGACAACAGAGGACAGGAGCAGTGATGCTCAAGTCACCTCCCCTGCATCCCTCCTGTGGAGGACCCTTGCTTGAGAGACCAGGCTGCTCTGCACTGCGGCTGTGCATAGGATAGACCCATCCCATGGCCCCAGACAGGCAACAAGCAGCATCCTTGCAGAAATCCCAAAATAATTCATTACCAGGGTTGGAATTTAATGAGGGTTTCCGACTGAGCTTCGGCTCCCCATGGTGCTGCCGCACTGACTTCACTGCTCCTCTCTCCTAGGAACATCACCCTCCTGCACTATCTCATCACTATTGTGGAAAAGAAATATCCCAAAGTCCTCCGCCTGCACGAGGAGCTGCGAGACATCCCACAAGCAGCCAAAGTCAAGTAAGCAGGGGTTTAGGTGGCGCTTAGGGAGAGCCGGAGTGCCTCTCCCCTTGCTTCATCCTGCCTTTCCGTGTCCCCCTTCCCCTCCTGATGCTCCTGGCTGGATCTGCCAGGCTGTGTCCAGTGCTGCGTCCAAGCTGCCCTGAGAGCAGCCCCAGAGGCAGTAGCAAACATCACTTGGTGGCTTTAAATCTCAGCCCTGGCAGCAAAGGGCTTCGAGCCACCGACTGAGGGAGGAGAGCTGCTTGGAGCAGCCGTTTCCTGTTGTTATCTCACTGCAGAAGCATTTAATTAATTTCTAATGGTACGTTAAGTAATCTGGGAGGAAGCGGTTGCGGTGTGGCTGCAGATAAAGGGCAGCTGTTTGTCTGCATGTGGTGGGGAGGCTTTGCCTGCAGCACAGGCAGGACCAGGCAGCGATGCGAGGGGCTCACCTACCTCCGGGTCCTGCCTGGCCCTCGTTTCACCACCAACTTCTGGTGTTTGCAACAAGCTTTTTAAACCCTGCCCGCATCCCGGTGACCTGTCGGGAGCAGGCTGCTGCCGTCTCTTTGCCAGTGGAGGCCCCTGTTCAGCAAAGCCCTTAAACGCATGCTGAACTTGTAAGCACAGGAGGATTCTGCTGTTGCTCTGCAAAGCCCTCAAGTATGTGCTAAAGTCCCTCTGAAATCAATGAGGCTCTGTTTCGGTTTTAAAGTTCAGAGGCAGCTTACGAGCTTTGTTGCTGCAGGGACCTGAGAAGCAAAGGTCACACGTTCTGCGGTCAGCACACATTCGTGTTAGCCGTGCACATGAAAGGGGCCTGGAACTGCACCTTTTTAGAGAGGGAATGGCAAATATGCACAGAGTTTACATGGCTCGAGAGCCTTTCAGGTTTTAAAGTCCTCTTGTAGCAATCAAGGCTTCCCCGCCAATCTCCAACGTGCAAAGCATCCTCACATTTAAAATGTGAAATAATTGTCAGCCACAGGGACTGGCAAATCTTGGCGTGGGAGGAGGAGTGTATGGAGGCTGCGCTCATAGGCACCAGCTGAGAACACGGAGCAGGACAAGCTCCTCGCCCGTGGAGGCTTTCTCATGCTCGTGTATCTGCAGCTGTTGTACAGATACATGTATGGGAAAGAAAACCTCTGCAAAGAGGCTTTTTTTTCCCCCCCTAAGCTTTATCATTTCACTCTAAACTGGACACAATATGTAATATTTGAGCCTGGTCCAATCTAGAGTGGAACCAAAAGGTTTCTAAAGCTCTGGAAAACCCTAAATTCCCCCCTGCCCTGCAGCTGTGAAGCAAAATTGCCGCCTCTGTCAATCCCACCGCTAGTAATGAACTGCTGGAGCACAGGGCTCCCAAAACTCCATTTTCCCAGAATAAACCTGCCAGGAATGCTTGCCCCGTGACCCGACATCAGCGTTTCCAGGGACGCCAGCCCTAGGACAGACACCCCTGGAAAGACATCAAGCCTGTGGTCATCGAGTCTTTGTGAGAAAGCTTCCTCGCAGATGTAGTGGTAGAAACCCGTAAGCGCTTGAACTCAAAGCTCATCGGGGACTTGAGCCTTGTGTAAACAAAGTCAGTGCCAGACATAATGATTTATTTTTATTTCTCTATATTTTGGTTATCTCTTTTTATTAAAGTCTTGCTGCTAGGAAGGATGTTTTGCATGGCATTCACCTAACCATGGTACCCCAAAAAACTGTCCTCTGTGCACTGGGACAACAAGCCTGTCTTCAGCTGGCCCTCAGGAGGGGAAGAGAAATCTATGCTCAGCAAAGCCCTCTCCTGAGCTCTCCTTTTGCTTGGAGAGGTCTGTAGACTGCTGAGCTTGCTAAGCCTGCACAGTCCCCTTGCTTGTAAATACAGAAAAGTCCTTTGCTTTAAAACAAGCAACAGCAGCCGCTTTGAGATAGGCCGCTGTCCTAGCTTAGAGGCTGTCAGCCCAGTTTGCTGCTGGAGACGCTGCTCTGCTAACAGGAGGCAGTGTGTGCAGCACGGGGGTCTTTTCAGTGGAAAAAGACAATCGAGTTGGTCAGAGAGCTGTAGAATTTGCTGGGGAAGGCTGAAAATTAACATCCTGCCATTTCCAACAGCATGACTGAGCTGGAGAAAGAAATAAACACTCTGAGGAGCGGCCTGAGAGCGGTGGAGACTGTAAGTATTCTTTAAATCAAATATAGTCCAGCCTGGCTCCGAGCACTGCAGCATCCCTCCTTAGGGAGACAGGCGAGGGAGCTCCCAGCAAAGCTGCTTTTATCTCACATCCTGGAGATCTGTTTGTCTTTCCTTCCTGCCCTGCATGTGCGCCTGTTCTCTTAGGGCTGTTCTGGCACCAAAATTGCCGCGTGTGGTTAGGCACGTGCATGGTTTATACCTAATACGTCAAGGGAGGCTGAGTAAGTCTAGTGATGATGTCCACAAAGGACCTGTGATGTGCCAAGGGGTCTCCCTTTGGCTGTAAAACCACAGAGGGCTGGGGCTTGGGCTGAGGAGCGCTTGTGCAGCCCAGCTGAAGTGGTGATGAAATGGTGGAGGCATCCCAAAGGACATGCTGTCTTGCTAAATTATGCTGCTTCCACGATGTCTCCTACAGGATTTGGCCTTAAGAGCCTACTGCAGGCATCATACTGTAAAACAGGGTCTCACGCACAGCAGGAGGGAGCAGCAGCAGCGGTGCTGCCGGTACCTGTGGCACTGACACAGGCACACACCCAGCAGCACTAACTGAGGCCGATGGTATTTGTGTCCCCTGTCAGCCAGGGACTGACCAGATTTACATTTCTTTTCCCCAAAGGAGCTGGACTTCCAGAAGTCTCAGGTTCAGCAAACGGGCGACAAGTTTGTGTCTGTCGTCAGCCAGTTCATCACATTAGCCAGCTTCAGCTTCTCGGACGTTGAAGATCTTCTGATGGAAGCGAAAGAGCTGGTAAGAGCACAAACATCCTTGAGATCTGGGTAGAGTTTCAGCCTCCAGCCAACAGGGTGGGGATGGTCCTGGCCTTCCCAGAGCACATGTGTGCATGTGTGTTAACATCTCAGGTACTTCAGCCATGAGATCGTGCAAATGTCTTGCTGAGACCCTGACATGAGAAAGGTGCTGGGCTGATCTTCAAGCTTTATTTGGAGTGGAGGGGTGGGTATGTCCCTGTCTGTCCCCAGGGCGTTTTTCCTCCTCCACAGCCCATTGTGCTAGGGGATCACAGATCAGGCCAACAGGCTGCTTCTGGGATGCAAGATGTGCTATAAAAAGCCATGAGATACTTGTCTATCTTTTGGAATTGCAAGGCAGGAGAGTTGGAGAGTTGCGTCCATCAGGGGAGGAGCTGATAGGTCATTTGTGAGGATCTAAGTTTGGGTGAAAAGCTTTCACTTAAGCCTAGAGGGTTTGCTTTGCTTTCCATGTCTTAAAATGGAAATATCCCAGTTTCAGTGGCTTTAGAATTAGGAGTGTGGTAGCTGGAGTATCTTGGCTAATGAAGGCTGAAGGTGGCAAGAAAGCAGGCTGTTCTGTCTGGTGTTGGTGGAAGAGGAGGCAAAAATGAACCAGATCTTCAGGCTGGACGTGAGATCCCCCAGAGGTTGATCTCAGCGGCAACCCAGGCTGCTTGAGTGACCCCAGTTCTATAGGGCAAAATAACAGCCGATGTGTAACTTTAGTCTGAGAACTGCCCAGCTCTTCTCTCCAGAGAAGAGGGAGAGGAGCTCAGGGGTGTGAATTGAGGCCAACTTCAGACCTGGGTAGAGAAGCTATTTAAAAGGTTCACCTTCTCCAGAGTATAGCCTTGGTGGGTGCTTTGCAGCCACATGCAATGACCATGTAGTCCTCTCCCTAGCAGGCTGGTTTAAATCCCAGCAGAGGGGTGGCCATTGGCCATTGCCTCATTCAGCAAAGGGGCACACAGCTGGTTTCTATTTCCTCCAAGAACAGTCCTTCAGTATCTCCTCCCTGGCCTGACCTTCGTCTTGATCGAAGTGGCAGGGAGATAGTCCAGCACAAGCAGTTTCAGAGTCCCATCCTTGTCCCACTATGTGAGCTACCTCCCCAAAGACCGAAGTTGCCAAATGTCACCACCTCCTTCTCCCTGGCTGTACCAATTGGCACTGTCCTTCGACCATCTGCCCATGCTTGGGCATTACGACTGACCATTGTTGTCCCAAGGCCGTGGCTAACCCAGGCCATGGCTAACCCAGGCCACCCTTCAAGCTGTTGATGGTGATCTGGCAGATCTTGCCTGCAGTGGGTTAGGACTCTGGAGATGGTGGCAAATGCTCTACAGACTGTATCCTCTTCTGCTGATTTGGCTGGATCCGCAGGAGGAGGTCTGGTTGTGGTCTCCAGAGACCATCCAAGTCCTCTCTGAAGCAATGTGCGCTGTTGCCATGGTTATTGGAGAGGATGGCCTGTGTGGCGTGCACCAGCTCCTCGCTTTTTAAAGACATGTCCAGAATCAAATTGTGTTACTGCTTTCCCTAAGGAAATCAAAAACATCATTATTTTACAAACCTTATACCCTGCGAGGATAACATTTTCGGCCTTTCCCCCCACCAGAATCTCCTGTAACATGGCAGAGAATCCAGTTTGTTGATGAGCATCAACAAGAACAACCTCAATTATTTAGACTTATATAGTGGCACCTCTCAGATTCCTCCCTGCATCTTGAGGTGCTAAGTCTCTTCAGTAAACAAAGAAATAGAGATGCCCTAAGTGTCTTTTGAAGAGCATGAGGCACCCCTGCAAATAAAACTAAATCACACAGGCAGGCTTGAAAAGTGTTCCTCTAGGTCTGCCCAGCACAATCAAAGCAACTCATAAATCTGTTTGTACTTTGATTTTGTTGTTTCTTTTCTATTAAGCGTGCTTATCTCCAGAACACGTCATCGCCATTTTAATCATAGAATCATAGAAACATAGAATGGTTAGGGTTGGAAGGGACCTTGAAGATCATCTAGTTTAACCAACTTTCTGTGCACAAAGAGCCTTCTCCAAACTGGAAGTGAGATGTCAGTTGCAGGAACGACTCGCAGGTTCCTTGGGGACCAGGAGACATCGGCGGATCGTGAATGTCCTGTCCTGACCTTTGCTGTGGCCTCATTCGATTCCTTTACATTAATGCTGTGCAAACAGCACAAAAGACCAGAAAACTCCCTATTTCCCTACCCAGGGCTGTGCCTGGGCTTGGGCAGACACATCTTTTAGAAGTTTCACCAACACATTTGGTTTCAATAGCAGAGCATGTGGCAATGATAAATAATACCCCAAAAATACTTCAAAGAAAAACTTAAAAGTGCGAGTTTCCCTTCCCCTGCCGTGTTTACTGTTCGTTTTATGTCTTTGCTCTTCAGTCCCACAGTATTTTGCTTCCTTGTTTTTACTGCTGCTTAGTTAATAAAGTTGAGCTGGGGCCGGGGGAGGCTCAGCAGAGCCAGAGGCAAGAAGGGCTGTGTGGGGGATGTTTTAGGAGAGGGGGCTCGGGAGCGATCCAGGTCAGCTCTTACACAGCAGCAGGTAAAACGTCAGATGACTTATTCCATGTTTAACTCAAGGCTGGATGAAGCAAAGCCCTGCTGTGGCTGCCGGGAGCGTTTCTCTCCACTCCGTCAGGTCCAAGGCTTCCCATGAGGGTTTCACCAGTGCAGTGGGTGTCTCCAGGTCTGATGGAGCCCTGCCTTCTCTTTCCCAGTTTTCCAAGGCTGTGAAGCACTTTGGAGAAGACACAGATAAAATGCAGCCCGATGAGTTCTTTGGCATCTTTGACCAGTTCCTTCAAGCCGTGACTGAGGCCAAGCAGGAGAACGAGAACATGAGGAGGAGGAAGGAGGAGGAGGAGCGCCGGGCACGCATGGAGGCACAGGTGAGCAGGCATTAGCAAGTCCAGCAGCACCCCCCGGGGCACCTGGGGATGGCAGCTGTGCCATGCTGTCCCCATGGTGGCACAGGGAGCGCTGAAGACTGGACAAGGAGCTTCTGTGCTCTCAGACCCACTGGCTTTTCACTGTTGATTGCTCTAATTAACTAATGAACTTGGGTTGGAGATAAAAATGTGCAGCAGAGCTGGTGCTGCCCATGGGCTGCTGTGACCCACCAGCAGCAGCCATGGGGCTGTGGACCTCAGCCCGTGTGTTGTATCATTAACCCTGACAAGCTGTCACATGATAAGCACCGGCGTGGGAAACCACTCTTGTTTCATGGGTTTGGGGGTCACCGCCCGTGCGTTGGGCATCCCCACAACCACTCGCATGAGGGTGAGATGTCTCCTTTCCTTTCCCCCCTCCCCCCGCCGTGGCACGTAGCTGAAGGAGCAGCGGGAGCGGGAGCGCAAGGCGAGGAAGGCGAAGGAGAGCGGGGAGGAAGGCGGTGAATTCGACGACCTCGTCTCGGCCCTGCGCTCGGGCGAAGTTTTCGACAAGGACCTCTCCAAGCTGAAGCGCAACCGCAAGCGCATCGCCAACCACTGACAGCGGCCGCGAGAGGCCCATCACCAAGCTCAACTTCTGAAAAGCAAACAGCAGCAACAAGACCCAACGAAAGAACGCGGGTTAGTCTTTTTGAAGTGGCTGAGGGGGGTGTTTATTCCCATTATACTGCCTTGCGATTCAAAGCGAAACAGTGGCACGCTCTTTCTCCCCGCAGGTGAGTGTGTGTGTATATATACTGTGTATATAGTCGGTGGGGGGCGTGGAGGGAGCCGCGGGGGTAGCCCACCTCGACGGGTGCCAGCGCCACCTCCTCCACTCCGAAAAGTAGTTCTCCCCATGCACAAGCACAATGCCGCATCCGCGGAGCAGGAGAGGACCCAACCCCGAGACGCCGGCCGTCCCCGTGTTCCGCAAAGGCGACGGGAAGCCACTCCCTGCCACACTCCTGCCGGGAGGTCCCCGGGCCATTTGCGGGGGATGCCGTGCGCACAAGCCGAGCGGTTTAAAGAAGAAAAGGAAAAAAACAAAGTGGACTGGACTTTAATCCGTTGTCTGTTTTTCTTCTCCTTGTTGTCATTATTCCAAAAACCTTGCAGATCCGTGCTTTCGCACTGATTCCCAGCTCGGTGCCGCGGGCGCTCCCAGCCATGCTCTTCCCGTCCTCCTCGGGAAACATTCTTTTTCCTTTTACTGCCACCTTGCAAAAGGAAAACGTTTACCCCAAAGTGCTTATCGCTCTAATGCCACACAAATATATTTATACTTTTATAACATTTTCTGGCCCAAGATGGTGGGAAAGGTCAGTTCTTGGAGGAGATGAAGAGCATAATCTTTTGTGCTGTAATTTTTCTTTTTGCTTTCTGTTCAATGGGACAAACTTTATCCTCTGTAAAGGTGGGTCAGGACCGAGGGTCTCTGATATACAAAGGGGCTGGTGCAAAACCCGCCAGCTTTCACCCGCCTTTTTTTTTCCTCTTCTCTTGATCGGTCACACAGAAGCAGCGATGCCAAGAAACGCTCGTCTCTTAGCCAGGTCCTTTTCTGACTGGTTTGCTGTGTGTTGTCATTGCAAATTTGTAAGCAGAACTACCTGTCAAATGTCAGTCCGAAAAAAGACACATAAAAAAAAATAAAAAAAAAATTCAAAGCTCTCAGGGAGTAATAATTTAAAGGTTTAGAAAATTAAGAATTGGAGAATAAAAAGTAACCACCATTAACATATTAACATTTCTATTCTTAAATTATGCTGAGTATATAGAGGACTGTTACTTTTAACTTTTATTTATTTGTGGGGTGTTTTTTTTAGGAAAAACAAACCAAAACCTTTTTATACCACCAATACATTTGTGATCCTTTTTTTTTTTTGTTTGTTTGTTTGTTTGTTCTTTTTCCTGTGGAGAGATGAGTTTGTCCCTGTTGCACTAGATATTAACACTATTTGAAATAAGGTTGGTTGATTGGGTGTTTATTTTTTCAGATCATCGGTATTACTGATGGGGTGTGGGATGTCAGTTAACTCTATGTACTGTATAGCAAAAGTGCTGTTTAAACTGATTTGTATAAAAAAATAAGGTTCTAAGCACCTGAAGGCCGCGGGGTCTGCGTGCTGAGTGAAAGCTGTGAAATCTCTCTCTAACCAGAGTTGTCAAGAGCTGTGGTTTTACCGTTTTGTTCTTTTCTTCATTGCAACTTTTGACGCACTGTAGATTTAAAAAAAAAAGAAAAAGAAAATTAAAAAAAAAAAACCAACACCAAAACACCTTTCTGAGTAGCATTTAAAGCAGTAATAAATAAAGCAGGTAAGCGCAACAAAAAGTCCAGCACCTCACATCCAAGCACCTGACAAACCTGCAGATTATGTTCAAAGGTGCAGTTAAGCACTTTGCTTTAGGAAGGAGGGGGAAATAAAGACAAAAGGTAATGATAATACTATTCCTTAACTGAAGTGCCTCTATTTATATTTTTTATTTATGGCTGAAAAAATGGGGCTGATACAATTGAGGGAATGGACTTCGGGGGGGAATTAAAAATATGAAAAAAAGAAGAAAAAAAAAGTTTTTTTAAAGAAAAAGTCTGGCCTCTGATGGTTTAAGGAATGGTTGGTCACACGTGTTTAATTGGAAAGGCGGTGGGAGTCGGAAAGGGCAATTGCCTCAGGGGGTCCTTGCGTGCGGGGCTTGGCCACCAGCACCCACCCCCAGCTCCTGCCTCCGCAATCCCAGTGCCACATCAGGACCTTTCCTGACAGATTTCCTCTTGCCCTTCCAAATCTGGTTTGTTTTCTTTTTTTTAAATTGTTTTACAACAGCCTCGTTACCAGGCTGAGTTTGCCGTTTCTTTGTTTTCTTTCAAAAAAAAAAAAGAAGAAAAAAGAAAAAAAACCCCTGTATCTCTGTAAAATACAAAGGCTGTGTGCAGGTAATTCCGTGTGCCATTGTCGAAAACCGCGTTTAGATTGGTGCTGGTGTAAGTAGCCACTCTTTTCTCTTGGGTGTGTATTTTAAAGATGATTTTTTTTTTTTTAATTATGCCAAAAAGGAAAAAAAAATCCATAATAATTTGTAAACTGAAGTATATGTCTTGGACCTTATTAGCTTTGTAGTGACCGAGGTAGTCTGTTAGGTGCAAGGATGTTAGTAGTCTTAGCTAGCGGGAAGTGCTGTGTGATGTTATGAGACTGTACATTTTCTAAGATGGCAATATGCAATAAAGAAAAATGATTTCGGTGAGTGTACATGGCGCGCCTTCCTCTTCTGGGGGGGCATAAAAAACCGGGGTGCTTGGGGATTGAGACGGGTGTTGGAGAAAAGGCCCTCAATGGGATGCTCTTTTCCGGAGGTATTTGCACTCATTGCAGGTGTTGGCTGATGAACCCACTTCACTGCTTTCCTGCATGCCGGGTTCGAGGTGGTTGGAGGGCATTTTCCACACACACACACACCCCCCGGCTCACAACATCCTCACGGTCGCCCACTTGCAGGCTCTGAAACACCTCCCAGTTGTGTTTTCTTCCTTATCCAGTGCTTTTGGCACTGAACGACCGTTGCAGCACCCAGCGTCCCCACACCCTGCGGTCTGTAGTGACGGGAGCGACTGCGTCATGCTCAGACCCATACCCTTTCCCCTTTGATCAGAGCTTTCCCCAGTATAACCAGTAAACCGGTACTGAGCCAGCACAGATGGGGCATGTAACATGTCCCTGGGCTTGTTGGGGCTCCCTTTGCTGCGATCCCAGCCAGCGTCGGGGCTGGCAGATGCGCCAGCCTCCTCCTGGTTATATCCCATGGCTGGTGTTCCCTACCATGGAGCGTATTTAGGACCCAGCGTTGGTCAGATCTGGGCTCACAAGGAGCGTGGGGCAGTGGTGCAGAGCAGCCCTGGGCTGTGTAGTGAAAGGACCCAAGCAAAATGGGAATGGTTCAGCTGCTCTTCCCTTCATTCATCCCCATGTCCCCAGCACAGGGGTGCCCTGAGGTGCATCCAGAAAAGGATGGGAACAAGCCAGCCGAACTACAATCCGAGGAGGACCTGAAATTCTGGTTAATGGCAGATTACAGGTTTGCTGGGCCACACCAGTGGGTGACCCAGGACGGTCCCCAGAATGGGGACAGAATGGAAGTGAGAGATGTGAGCAAGGGCAGGGCATAGCTTTTTATTCAACCAAGATATTTGAAGGAAAAAAAAAAGAGCCTAGTAATGTGCAAGTTTCCTAGCCTGCAAACCCTTCCTCAGGGTTGAAATGGCACCATCTGTGACTTGAGAACATAAACTTCAGACACGATGTTTGTCCCCCCAGAGGAAAAGGGACTGGGGTGTGCACTGTGCTGGACTGGCACGGCTGTGCGCTGTGACCCGTGTCACCAGGAGTTCATGTCCACCGATGGCTTGGCTGTCTGGGTTTTCACCCGTAAAAGGGCATTTCTGCCCAAAATCCTGGCTGCTCCCTCCAGTTAAAGCCATCAGGAGGGTGTGCTGGATGGGCCAAACCTTCCCAGACCTCCCAGTGCCAGGGGAGCTGCCAGGCATGGCACTCCCAGAGGAATTGCCCCATGGGGCCACCCGGGTTGGTGGCACCAAACCTGCTGAGCCAGCCTTGGCTGTGCTGCGCTCCAGCCCGGTGGCTTTCCCCATTGCCGAAGGCTGGGATGACTGGGAGTCCCACTGCAGTGGGGAGTGTCAGCTGTCCTTTCCATGTTCCCCTTGGCAACGTGCCCTGTCTTGGAAGCGATGAGTCAAGAGGTTGGAGCGGTGCCGTCAGGCAGGCACAGCACGGCACGCAAAACTCAGCGAGTAGAGCAGACACAGCGCGACCGGGAAACGCTGGGCTCCCAGCCCCACTGGCAGCACTGCCGCTTGCAACGGGTCGCAGGGTGCCAGGTCAGCAGGAGCTTGCTGGACTTGATGTCCATATTTATTTATTTATTTACTCCCAAGGGAGGATACAGTGGGACCGATGGATCTGTCAGGCTTTGACATCCCTCCTGGAGACCCTCAGGAAAGGGTAAGCAAAGCAGGGATGTTGCCACTCCTGCCCCTACCACTGCTGAGACTGGGCCTAGCTCTGTCCCTGATGCCACTGTCTGTGTCACAGCTCAAGCAGATGTTCCGGGGTAAGACTGCGCTTTGCCAACGTCATGGTCCCGCACAATCCGATCACCAGCCCTGAGGCCCTTGAGCAGAGGGAGCACTGCAGCAACAGGCAGAGGCCAGCGTAGCAATAAACCCCCATGAAAGCACCTGGGTATTTCTGTACCAGCCTGTGCTGTGGGCTGAACGTGCCCTTTGAGCTGTCCTTCTGGGTGGGGGAAGGTGTGGGAGAGGCCAAGCTGACAGGGAGGCTGATGGGTGCAGGAGGGAGGCTGTGAGCCAGCACCGTGCCCATACCCTCTCCTGCAGCAAGTCCTGCAGGCACATCTCCTGGCATTGCTCAGGGTCCTGCCACACACGCATGTGAAAAGGAGAGCTCTCCGTTTTAACTAGCGGTGCTCTGACCGGAATCCTCTCAGCTTTTTATATTATTTTTAGCCTTAAACCAGGCT